TATCTCTTCTTCTTGTCTGATTGCTGTGGCTAGGACTTCCAGTACTATGCTGAATATGAGTGGTGAAAGTGGATGTCCTTGTCTTGTTCCTGTTTTTAAGGAAAATGCTTTTAGTTTTTGTTCTGTATATATGTTTGTATGTGATTATATGAAGATAAAGGAATGGAAGGACACCAGCAGATAGTTAACATTGATTGGGAGTAGTGAGGAATACTTGTACCTCTGCTCAAATGGCCACACACAAAAAAAATAACATGAGTAATCATAATCAGATTTTTAAGAAAGTAAATTGCTTATGCTATAATGTCCGTGGAAAAGTAAAAGCAAAATTATAGGTAGGCTTAATCAACAATCATATAAAATATTCAAGAGAAAAAAGATTGGCAGGCAGTACAACAAAATTATCACGACAGTTGTCTAAATAAAGGCATTATAGTTGTTTCATTCCTCTAGATTTTCCAAATTTTCTCTAATGTAGTTTTCTTCCGTTTTGTAATTAAATAAAATAAAAATTCAAATTCATTTTTTGTTAACCATATACTTTTTATTATGTCTTGAAATCAGTGTATATAGACCATCCTTCCTATATAATAAAGAGGGAATATGCTAATTGACCATCACACCTTCACAAATGGCGGTGCCCACAGCCACAATGGCGGCATCCAGTCCTCAGCCCCGCTGGGGGCCTTTGGTCCTCCTGCACCCCCACTGACTGAGGCTCAGGCAAATAGGGCCGGTCGAGGCGCAGGCAAGCCTTGGATGGCAGCTGCCCAGCCGCCCAGGGCTGGCCGAGGCTTGTGCTGCAGGTAGTGGCAGTAGCAGAGGTGTGATGGGGGCATCGCCTTCCCCTGATCACCGGGTCGCCTCCCTCCCCTGAGGACTCCCAGACTGTGACAGGGGGCAGGCCAGGCTAGGGACGCTCTCCTCCAATGCATGAATTTTCATGCACTGGGCCTCTAGTCTATATATAAAAACCTAAGTGACCGTTACAACCGGACAACTGGACAACCGGCCAGTAGCTATGACATGCACTGACCACCAGGGGGCAGACCTCAATGCAGAAGCTGCCCCCTGGTGGTCAGTGCATTCCCACAGCCACAGCCAACCTCCCATGGCCAGCCAACCTTTTGCGGTCCTTCCTCTCGGCTGGCCGGCCCCATCGGCCCCGATCGGGACTGGGTGAGTTGGCCTTGATCAGCCCCGATTGCCAGCCAGGCTGAGGGACTCCACCTGTACACAAATTTGTGCACTGGGCCTCTAGTATGTATATATAGAGTGTCTCCCCAAAATGTAGACACATACTTTGAATAATTATAAAATTAGTGTTTATTAAATAACATTTCATTTTTAAAATTGAGCTATCAGCTCTTAAAGTATGTATACATTTTTTTGGACACCCTGTATGTGAGCTTGATGATGTCCTAGCTCTGAAACTGTGTGGTTACATTTTATCTAATACTAGAGGTCTGGTGCACAAAATTTCTGCACTGGGGGTGGGTTGTAGGGGGTCCGTCAGCCCGGCCTGTGCCCTCTTGCAGTCCGGGACCCCTCGGGGAATGTCTGTCTACAAGCTTAAGCCCATTCCCCCCAGGGATCAGGCCTAAGCCAGAAGTTGCACATCCCTCTTGCAGTCTGGGCCCCCTCACTCCTTACCACCCACCTGCTTGCTGCTCCTTACTGCTCAGCTTGCTGCTCCTTAGCGCTGCTGCAGAGGCGGGAGAGGCTCCTGCCACCACCGCTGCACTTGCCAGTTGTGAGCCTGGCATCTGGTTGAGTGGCACTCCCCATGTGAGAGTGCAGTGACCACCAGGGGGCAGCTCCTGTGTTGAGCATCTGCCCCCCTGGTGATCAGTGCACATCATAGCGACCGGTTGTTCTGGTCATTCTGCCGTAATGGTTGCTTGGGCTTTTATTATATAGATATGAAGGGATTTTTGGTTTATTTTCAATTAGTTGTAGAATAGATAACTAAATGCTTACAAAATAATTATCCATAAAAATATGGCTTTACGTATTTCAAGATTTTTTTCCTCAAAGAGTAAGTGAAATCAGTTTTAACAATAATTTTTGAAGCAGTGTGGCTTTGTAGGCAGGTCATGTCTCTTCCCCCTTCCAGGCCCTAGTTGCTTCATCTATAAATAAAGAAGTGAAATGAAATAATTTTATTAGGGCCTTTGGCTCTAACATTCTATGAATTAATTATATTAATCATGAAATGCATTAGATACAAATAAATGATCAATTGCTAAGGAGAAGAAAGTTTTCATCTTAGTAATGCTTACATCAGCTGTGAAAGATATTTATATAGCTAGGGACGATGCTCTAACTTGACATAACTTTCCTG